AAAAAATGCTATTGTGGATTGTGAAAAAATTTAAGCGGTTTGTCGCTTTACATCTTTCCGGACAATTCTAGCTAGCCTGGTCGTGGCACATTAAGCCACTGGTGTCGCAACGGAGTAGAGTCCAATGAAAACTATCAACCATACTAGGTGCAGCCATATGCACACGATCTCAAACCATGTAAATAAAAAAATGCAAAGAGACTTAAATTGTTGAAACTAAGCGCAAGCAGAAACATTGTCAATATGTTCAATGAAATGAACAACTTGCTAAGGTTTAGACGTGGCGGACTGGGAGAAAAAATCGGCCCTGGCAAAATGTAAAGTCCACCGCCCCAAACAGCACGTCGGCCCACCGGGAAAATGCCCGGTACGCCCGATTACCAGTCCGTGCCTGTGGGGTGTTAGCTGAAATGCACCGTGTAGCCTAAAATGTTGGAAGGTGGGCGTGCCTTCGCTTGTCAGATAGACAAGTTATGAAAGCTATGAAGCTATGAAATCTAACCTAAGATATAACGACACACACTACCGGACACAGTCAAAATCATATTTCTAGAGACTTTATTGCTAACTAGTGCTGCCACGGCTGGCATATGATAAAGGAAACCATATTGTCCTACCTGGGCGCCGGCCCCGCTGGCCCGGTCCATAATCCAGCCTTGGGTGGGGGCCAGTAGGAGAGAGCCCCCTTTCCAGCGTTGGTTAGCATGTAAAGTAGAACTGGGAAATATTGAATGGAAAACCACTACAAAATCCAAGGAACTGGACTTCTAAAATTACAAAAACAATGCATAATTTTTCAATACTTTAACAGCATTCTTGTTTGCAGTTTTTCTTTTTTTGTGTTTAGATTAGTTTTTAAATCTCATGTTCTGGTTGTTGTTTAACCTGTAGGTCCTGAAGGCCAAACTCCACTTCCTGACATGTACCAGGCAGAGGAGCACAGTAACATCACAATTACATCCTGCCAGTACCCATCTAATGCTGCTATCCCTCCAAAAACACTAAACTTTGACCTGGTTTCCTTGAAACCTCTGAAGAAGATCTACGCATATGACAGCAGGCTTGTGGCCGTTCGGCACATAGATGAATTCTTCAGAGGACGTCTGCACTGTGATCTGCTACGGGCCAGAGAAGGAAAAATTGATTTTGTCCTGGCTGACCTGAGGATGACCGACACCGGACAGTATCAGTGTGTTGTTCATGCTGATGGAAAAAACAACTTTAAAGCATACAACCTCACAGTTACAGGTAGGCTGAAGTGATTGCCTCCTAAACCCAGCTCACTTACTGAAATTCAGCTATTTTCTTTTTTTTTACATAAGATAATTGACTTCCATCTCCACTTTTTTACTGGAAACTCTCAAAAACATTAAAAATCAGTTTGTGCTAACTAAAAAAAAATATCCAGCAAGTAACTCTGTCTTCTTCATCCCTCTTTTTGCAGCGTCCAGGAATCAGCAACAACTCCAGAGCCAGCCAACCAACGAGAACGATTCTACCTCTTTGTAAGCCTCGTTATGTTTGCAGCACTTTGTTTTTTATTTATCTTTAAGGCTTGTGTCCATGGCATTCCTCCTGGATCAAGTCGGTTTACGCGGGCTCCTTTAGCTGTGTAGCATAGCCTTGCTATTTGATCAGACAATCCATTCCATTATCCATTTCAATTTTTACAATTATTATCAGCATATATCTACCTCTGCTTTTCTGTGAGGGCACTTGAATCCACTTACCTCATATTTCATTAAAACTGTGACAGACATGGTAGAATGCTTTTAAACCATATCTCTTCATAGTGAAGACTTAAAGCACTTTTGGTCCAAAGAATTTCGGGAGTTTATTGGTAAAGTACCAGTGTTGAAGGGATTTCAAATAAGAAGTGCATATCTGTGTTAGACTGTATTAAGTAATTGTACAGTTTTATCTAAAGATTGAAGCGGTATTGTTACCGAACTGAAAAAAATGTAGAGTCTGGCTTTTACCAATATCAGACTGATAAGGAATGCACTTTAAATTGAATAAAACACTAGCTGTATGAACTAGGGATGTCGACCTCCAGTCTTTAAGGGCTTCTGCCTGGCAGGCTCCAGATGTTTCCCTGCTCCAACACACCTGATTAAAATAAAAAAGATCTGGGGGAAAATTGTGAAATCCTGCTCATGGATGCAAATGAATTAAAGCAGGGAAATATCCATTACCTGCTGGACAGCTGTTCTCAAGGACCAGAGTTTGACATCCCCCTGGAAGAGTTATAACACAAAATGAAGCTCCTGTATTTTAGACAGGAGACAGTTTACAGCTCCCCTGTAGAATCTTGATAAGCTTTAAAAATCGTACGTAAAGTGTTGGTTATTTACAGTGCACAAATTAGGGTTCATCCTATGTGAAAAGTGGCAGCTATCCAAGAACTGTAGACAGGACTTTTTGGTAACATGCACAACTACCAGCAAGATTTATGTTTAAGCTTAAATTTCTTTTGTTAGTTCAAATATGAGCTAAATGAGATTTTTTTTTTCAAATCTAAGTGCATTCACACCTCTTTGTATTAGCTTTCTCCAAAACGCACTACCTCAAATGGCTGGCAGAACTTTGACAAATAAATCAGAAAAGGTTCTGTCATAGTGTCATTTTTGTGGCCTACAGTTAAACATTGTCATTTAAACTACAATTTAATTTGTTTTTCTATATCAGTGCGTTAATTTGTGTCGGAATGTTTGCCGTCCTTATAATGTGATGTCAGTGTGAATAATAAAAAATGTCACTGATTCTGTTAAAGCTTCATTTATGTTTACTTACACTCATTCCTCACTTACAGCATATGTATATGCTGTGTGCAATAATATTAAGCGTGACGAAAACAAGAAATGGACGAAACTACAGGCTAAAACATACTCTCAATCAAAGTGGGAAGGCTCTTCCTCATGTTATAATATAATGGTCTGTTTGAATAGTAGAATATTGTCCTTTACAACCTGTGAAAGGAAAGGTAATTTCCTGTGCTATATTATACACTAATATCTCAAGTGAAAGCACCTTTCATGCCACTCAAGGACACTTTAGAAACCATCATCTTCAAGACAACATTGAAACAGAAGAAACATACAATAAACACATTCAAAACATAATGAATTTAATAATAATAAAAATAACATTTTAATTAAAAATCATTTTTTAAAGGGCAAATTAATAGAATGCGGGGAACGATGGAGTTAGGGGTGGTGAAATGGGTAAGAACATTTTAAACAGGTGGGTTTTGAATAGAGGGAGAGAGTATGCATTTCGTATGTCAGATGGCAAAGAGTTCCAGAGTCTGGAAGCAGAGCGACCGAAGGCTCACTCACTCAGTATGGCAGTATTTTGTCATTCTACACAAAATATGGTGTTTATGATTGAAATAGCTTCCATTCAAATTTCTTTTGTACTGATATCAGTAAATAGTAGTACAGATTTGTGATCATGTATGCGCCTTGTCCTAAATAGCCTACCTCATTGCCATTCTTTTTTTTAAATGCATTTTAAAGCTCAAGGTAAAATCTGACATGGGATTGTTCCGTTGCTGCTTGGGTACCTTCATCATGTAAAAAAAAAAAAAAAAATTATTAGAGGGAGAAAGAGCTAGAGTCCTCTCTGAGACACTACAGTGAAACAGACATTTCATGGACATTTCAAAGTGAGATAGTTCTAGTAAGGGAATAGCCACTATTTAAAACCCATCACAAAGTATTTCCAGATCTGAGATCATGCATTTCAAGAGTCATATTTAAAACAATTTGTCTTTCATCCACATTTCATCTGGACAAGCCGGTGAGCACTGTGAGGATCACGTTCTTTGATTTCTCAAGTGCTTTCAACACCATCCGTCCGGCTCTACTGGGTGAGAAGATGACGGCGATGCAGGTGGATGCCCCCATCGTGTCCTGGATTGTTGACTATCTGACGGGCAGACCACAGTATGTACGCCTACAGAACTGTGTGTCTGACAGGGTGATCAGCAACACCGGGGCCCCTCAGGGGACTGTCCTCTCTCCATTCCTCTTCACCGTCTTCACCTCAGACTTCAGCCATTGCTCTGAGTCCTGCCATCTTCAGAAATTCTCTGATGACTCAGCAATAGTTGGCTGCATTGAAAGGGGAGATGAAGGTGAATATAGGACTGTGGTGGACAACTTTGTCACTTGGAGTAAACTTAACCATCTGCAGCTCAATGTGACAAAGACAAATGAGCTGATAGTGGATCTGAGGAGGGCCAAAACACCTGTGACCCCTGTTTCCATCCAGGGGGTCCCTGTAGACACTGTAGAGGAGTATAAGTACCTGGGGGTGTACTTAAATAATAAACTGGACTGGACAAGAAACACCGAGGCAGTCTACAAAAAGGGCCAAAGCCGACTCTTCTTCCTGAGGAGGCTGAGGTCGTTTAACATCTGTCAGACGATGCTGAGGATGTTTTATGAGTCTGTTGTGGCCAGTGCGATCTTCTTTGCTGTCACATGCTGGGGCAGTGGGCTGAGGATCGCAGACAGCAACAGACTAAATAAACTGATCAAGAAGGCGGGTGATGTTGTAGGGGAGGAGCTGGACACTCTGTCGACCGTGGCAGAGAGGAGGATGCTGTCCAGGCTTAAGTCCATCATGGACAATGTGTCTCACCCCCTCTACGACACACTGGCCCAACAGAGGAGCTCCTTCAGCAGAAGACTCCTCTCACCCAAATGCACCACAGAGCGCCACCGGAAATCCTTCTTGCCGGTGGTCATCAATCTGTACAACGCTTCCCTCTGAGAGTCAATGTTAATCATTGACACTATCCACCTCTCATTTTGTATATATCTAGCTATATTTATGAGGAATTTTTGTATATATATATGTATATATGTATAGACATGTACATATGTATATGCCTTTGTTTTATTTTGCTTATGGAGCCTGTAACAAAAATAATTTCCCTCTGGGATTATTAAAGTATTTCTGATTCTGATTCTGATTCTGATTTGTGGTCCTGGGGGTTTGACAGTCTGTCTTTGTATCTTACCTACCAGGGGCTTCAGATATAAAGTAACCCTTTAGGTTGTTCTAGCATAATTACATTAATACATATGGACTGTCACATAATATTAAGAAAATTGGACTTTCCCCTTACTTTTGACTGTTGAAACGGTAATGGCACAACTGTACTCTCAAGTAAAAATACATAGGGCTAGTGTTAGAAAGGGGTTTCACCTGCACGTAAGGTTATTGTAGTTGTACTTTAATTAGGTCGTGTTTCAGTCTTTTGCCTAAGTTTTTGCCTTCACATTCACCTCGATGCTTAAAATCTCAGACGAAAAGCTCAACCCCTCAATAATAAAGTCTCGCTGACACGTAATTCTCCGCCTAACTGCGTGGGAGGATGCTGGTATATGTCCCGTCCAAAACAATCATGATACACGCTGCAAACCAGTAACCAGTACACAATGCCGATAACTGGACATTTTTCAATGTAAAGATTTATGAGCGCCCTCAGCTTTTCGTCGGGACACCCCCCTATTGTGGTTTCATTTCGCGTAAAATAATGTACACTTCCGTTATCGGCTGAGTGGCGCCAATCCCCGCCTCTGATTGGTTCAGACGCGTCTAACGACCTATTTCATTAACCAGAGCAGAACCGGAATCGCACAGTTTTTCTTCTGTTTTGTAGTTGTTTTTGAGTGTTTATACCATCCCCGAGTAGTCTTGTTCATGTGAACGGTGCGCCTTGCTGTTTATTTTTCTTTCCTGGTGAGTTTAATCTTTCCACTTCCTCAAATAAGCGCAGACTTGAGGAGGGGATGTTTGCTCTCTGAAGCCATGTAGAAGTCCAATATTTGCTTTGGGTAGGGCGATCTTTTTAGGACCAACGAAATCGTTGTAGTAAGTAACGGCCATGGATAATGTGCTGGCTCCTCTGCCCGCATTGTAAGTCTCACCCACCACCACTATCCACAGATGCGCGCAGTGGTTATGGTTATGGTTAGTTAGGGTAAGGCAGGACAGGGATAAATAGGCACATGTTTTCGGGCATCAGACTCAATTATTCAATTTTTGAAAATATGAGTTCCATCATGCATCTTCCACCAGAAGGTGACTTTAAACTAATGCCTGAAACCAGTGGTTAAAGCGTATGCATTCATCAGTTTGCGTTTTTAAGTAAAGAAATGCTTTTGATCAGTTAGAAGAGGCATAATCTAAGTTGTTGTGATTTAAGCCTTTTTTTAACCAGTTGACAGTTGAGATTTGTTAGTCTTTGGGCATGTGCACATGAGACATTTGCAAATGAGTGCCACTCACCACCCCATGCCTGCCCTTTTTTAAATCTCTTGATAGCAATTGTGGGGAATGATACAAAACTCACCATAGTGATTTTAACTTGTAATTTGATTTATACATTCATTTAAATGAGACATTCAGTAGCTGCTTTACTTAAATGGTCTACCCTTTAGTCCTTTTTAAATAGACTACTACTTGCATGTTGTGTAAATGGATACAAGAAGACA